GTTAAAACTTCACATCAAATACTATCTCTGTAAGTTAAAACTTCACATCCAAATACTATCTTTTCTAATGTGTTATTTCTTGACAGGATCCAACACTGCAACATATCAACAGATTTAATTAAAGACGTTAACATTTCAGACAACTGATATCTTCTGATGATTTCCATGATGAAGAATATTTTGAGTTTTACTGATTGTTATCAAGACTATCTGCTACGTCCAACATGGGATATCGAACCCCGGATTTCAATGTTGTAATTTCGTACACTTATCATTGTCCCAACAGGAAACCCTATGAAGGCAATAAGTAACGTTGTGTCTTTCAGGTGCACATTTTCCGTATCGATTGTTTGATTCATTATCAATCGAAATTCTAACTTTTTTCACTACAGCACTACCTTTATATAATATTCTGACATTTAGCCGTGTCAAACCTCTTTAGGTAAAAAACAAAACTCCAAATCGCGTGCGACCGAATATTGGACACATCGTCTTGGTACTGTTTAAAAGTACCTTTGTACTTAGGTTACTGTTATTTAATGTACTTGATTTGTCTTCCATTGCTTGATGTACTTAAGCTTTCATTTGAGGATATTTACTATGAATTTTGCATATCATAAGTATCATCACTGTGACGTAAGTAACTCTCCAGTCGAATGCATGACGCATGTAAAAAAAATAGTGTAGTTTAAAAACTCGACTGTTGTTTCGGAAGTTGTCGATTGAGCTGTTTAAACTATTTTTTATTGTTTTGTTTCAGTACTGATTTAAAATTTTCTAATTCTTGAAAACCCCTGTGGGACAAGTTTTAGATAAAGAATGTAGTGTTTAAAAGTATAATAGACTTGATGCTAATGTATTACGACAAATATAACTGTAATCATTCTTCGCCAGCTTATAAAAAAGGCACACACATTTTGATAATTGTTGTTGTATCAAAATGCTTTTATAAATAGTGTTCCGACCAGTGCTGTGTACGTTATATTCCACCTGGTCTGAGGAACTCCAGATTGATGGGCGAACATAGCGTGGTTAGAATACTATTATTATTAACCCTTCTAATTCTTGAAAATCCCTAAGGGACTATATAAAAAATGTAGTGTTTAAAAATGTTATAGGCCTAATACTAATGTCTTATGACAAGCATAATTAAAAGATAATTTTGTTTGAAAACTTCACTATATATTAGAGGTTATTAACTGAAATATTAAGCCTATTTTGTGTTTCAGTTCCATATGATTTCAATTAACGTAAATACTACTGTGTAACAAAATTAAAAAATAAATAAATCATAGAATACATAATGAATTTGGTCATTAACAATATCAAACTTCATTCCTATTATATTATAAAGGCATTGGATTATTTTACTCCACCTGAAGGATATTATTCATTCTACAGTCGGGGGGGGGGGGGGATTAACAATCTACCAATCGCATACCAACAATTTACGACTTCTGTTCACCTAATTGTCGTGTTAAATATTATATATCTTGGTTATTGGTCACCTATAATTACAGCTCAGTTTAGGTATCGGCCTATTTTTTGTATAAATATATATATATATGTATAAACTTGCGATATCGTGTGTTAAACTGTCTATATTGCTTTCAAGAAAATAATTCAATTTTGTTTAAAAATATATAATTCAACATTGGTATTTTACCCTAAATTGGCTTTCAGTTCACTTGCAATTTAAAGTTTAAACATTAGTACTATGTATCCCTTGTTCGTGCGTGTTTTCCCTACAACTTTGTATTGATGCTTAATCAAACTATAAATGTGGTACACATTTCTTCTACTATTTTATACGTAGTTGAGAAATCTATATCAGGCTGTTATTTATTTAATACAGAAAACTTCTCGAACTTACATAAATTCTTCTCGACCGTATGAAAACGATTAATGGATGTTTGAGATTCCAATAGCAGCCAGCAACTTTCTTCCAACCCTCGTATTAATGCTGAAGCAGAAGCTCTCTGTTCGGGTATCGGAAGGTCCCGCCAGGAGTCGTGGTGGTATCGTTCCAATAGGTTACTGCTTATTTCAGTCATTAGCTAAAACAAAACATCAAATGTCCTTTTATTTTAGGTATCATTTCCTTTTCCAAAAAAACAACAACAACCAATTACCTGTCGATTCACGATATTTCTAAAAACATTTTAATTAGTGCCTTACAGAAGATCATAATTAACGTTAAGCAATACATTTATCTGCCAAATGTATCGAAATATTTAAGACATATATATGTTTCCAAACTAAAGGAATCTTAAAACATCTTTAGCACCTCATCATCAGAAAACGAGTCAAAATATTTAGAACAAATATCTGTTAACAGAAGCAAAAAAAAAATCACATGTTATAATTATTGAATATATTTCTGTACCTCCAACAATTCACGTGCAATCTGTTGTCGTTGGTGGTTTGGAAAGCCTAGATAGCGTTGTTCAGAATTTCTTACATCCTTAGCACTAACCGCCATCTTGGCAACCAGTCTCTGGGTGATGCCTGCCACTTGCCGGATATCCCCTCCATACAGAGGTTTTGTTTTTGTTATTACAGCCAATTCCGTTGCTATCCCAACAATAGATTCCTCTCCATCAACCTGCAATTAGTATTAAGTAAAAAGGTTTAGTGAAAATGTCTGTACATGATGGAAATAAGCCTCAAATATCAAGCGAGTTAACATTCGGCAGTAAATATTCTAGGATTTTGTGTGTGTCATAAATATTGTCTCTTAAGACAATTTCCGACGTAAAATGTACATCACTTTAAAATAATAATAAACAACTTTCCGATGTTTTATCTTACAACATATCGATTGAAAGTAAAAACATTAATTAATATAACAAATGTATTTGACGTACTTTATTCTTGCTTTTTTAACACTAGTTTCTCTTAGAGTTAAACTATTGTTTTTAGGAGTGTTTTATGTACAGTCTAAAATTCCCACCTGCTCCTTCAGGCTAGCCCCTGGTGACTCAGCGATAGATCTGAGAATTTATAACGCTAAGATTCCGGTTTCGATACTCGCTGTGAGAACAGCTCAGATAGCTTATTCTGAACCTTTGTTCTTAACAAGCAAATGAAGATTTTTTTTAGGTTAACTTGACTTATGGTTTTGTGTTTATTTACGTAAATGTTTTCCACTGATACATTGTTTTGAAATAGTTTGTTTTCCTACCAGTACGGTTGTTCAATTAAAATCTAGACCTTACACTTACTGTTTAGATTTAGTTTTTAAGATTGTGGCATCTTATGTTGATAACATATGTTATCAAGGCTTTCAAATTCGTTCATATGTTTTCCTTTTAAAGTGTATCATTTGAGGTTGGGTATTCTGACTGAACAACTTTAAATGCTATTTCTCTGGTATGTGTATATCTAGAACAAAGAAACAAAACCCTTGCTTAACTGTCATCACTTAGAACAACTGTGAAACCGTGGTTTTATGAAGAAAGTTTGTTAAATAAATAACAAAGATTTACTACTCTTTTTATCTTAAATTAACCTTTACATGCGAAACGCTACGCCATTTGTTTGATAACTTTGAGCTTAATTTATTTTTCCAAAACTTCATCCCCATGGGTAAATCAAATCCACTGAATATAAAACAACTTGATAAACAGCAACGCTTCTT